AGTGGTTCACTACGGCTTTGACCTATTCACTGGTACAACGGTGTATGACCAGTCGGGTCTGGCGAACAATGGCTTAGCTATCAATGGGACGACTACGTCTCTTAATGGGACGTGTGGCAAGGCCGTTAATATGACCTTGGGGCAAATAAGGCTGCCTGGAGATGCGTTCAGGGAGAAACCTCAAAAAGCCATCACGATATCAGTATGGGTCAAGCTACAAACAAACAGGTACTGTAATATTGATGCTTATACTTGGTGGAGATGACCGTATACGGTTTGCAAATATTCGGCCTGTTAGGTTCCAGAATAACTCCCTGATAAGAAACAATTCAAGTGAGACCGCGATGTCCCTTAGCAAGAGATCGGGTATTCAATCCACTTTTTTTTTTGTCAGTATAATGATACTTGTCATGATTTCTAGCAAGTAGGGTTATTTTATTGTTGCTTGATTATTGAGTAACTTTCTGACTCCCTAGACCTTACGGTTTTCATCAACCCCCATTCATTTATCAAATTTATAGGTCAGTCCGTAATTTGAACAGGGTTATGAAGCATGTTCAAGCTTCTGTGGGGGTGGTCTAAATATCAAGCAGATTCAGCAAAGACACCGTGGCGGCAGAGACGACGGCGCGTTCAGTCCTTTCTGCGCGCTTTAGCGTTCTTATTTGAGGTTGTGCTATCTTTACGAAATCTACCTTTTTGTTGTTTTCTCAACCTATCCCCATCATCTGTCACACACCTCAGACTATCCAAGGGTAAAACAACTCATTTTCGTTTTTCGACACCCTATTTAGGGTGCGTTCGTTCGATCATATTCCGGAATAAGTATGTTGCGAACCTCTTCAACCATATATTTATTTGACCACTGGAATGTTTCATTCATCTTAATTTTTTATGTTCATCAGATTGCTGGATTTCACTATGCAATGGAAGTCAAAGCAAGTGATTTTGTACTGTTTAAAAGACGAGCAGGAGTGTATTATCAGAAAAGCTTGACGCGAAGCCGAGAGTTTTATACCTGCTGATAATACACGACTGCGAGTTTTTTTAACAGCTTCAAAAGCTCTGATACAGATCAACTCATTCTTGCGCTAATATTTAGATTTGGGGTGATTTTGGTCTAAAAAACTGGACGTAAAGTTTGGCCGTGTCTTTATCAGATATGAAGATATTAATTTCCTTTGGTTTTTTCTTTGTAAATTATTAATTAAGTTTTTCAATTAGAGTATATTCCATGCATTCTTCCGAGATACTGTTAATTGAACGAGCCCTTTGTTTAAGGCAGATAACATTAAATTGTTTTTCCCTGCTACGAATTTCTCTCTAGTTCCCTCTTAGAAACATAATTCATATCTTTTTCTTCTCTGGGTAATTTTTCGCAGGGGACGTCACGAGATATTCAACACGATCGGTAGCCATTCAGATCACAAACACGATCAGTACGACTTCGCAGTGCAGGATGGGAAGGTTATCTGGTATCACCACCAAGAAAATGACAAGGAAGTTTTCAATGTCGTCACCCTTCCCTGCATTCCGGCGCATAACTGGACGCACATAGCCGTCACGTATGATTCGCAAGCCATGTTGGCCATAGTTTACGTGAATGGAATTCTTGTGAAGGCAAAGTCAGCGAGTGGAGATCTTTCCCAGGACTGGGGTCATTTTGCGGGCATTGGAAGACATTTTTACGAAGGGACTTTTTTGTCAGGACTAATTGACGAATTTATAGTTTATAACTATGCACTCAACGACACGATTAGGTATCTGGCGCAAGGTCGCTGCTGGTGAAAAGAACACCTTAAGAATATTAATAGTGTTAATGTTTTTGAAGACAAGCGTAGCTATTTTGAGCGTTTTTATATTCCCATTAAAATTTGAGTTAGAAGCTTGCAAATGAGGTGAGCAAAGGCCAAAAACTAGAAGGAAATGTGCGGAAGAGTTTGAAACACATTAATCTTGATGGCTTAAAAAATAAGGCTGGTCACAAAGCCCGAACTTAGATCTGAATGGGAGAGTCTGACCAAAAATACATTTGACTTTAATACAATCTGTGCATGTATACATGGAAAATCAACAATAGGTTCTGACCCCAGCTTAAACAAAGGCTTTATTTGTAATACGTTAATAATCCCAGAGGATTAGAGTAGTCGTTAGCTAATTTGAGAATTCAAGGACCAGGATGATAATACTACAATCCCGCACAGGACACCCACCGTTTTGTGATAAGTGCATGTTAAATGGAAGCCATCTCTGTTTATCCGAGGTTTCTTGTCGTGTGATATTGAAACAATCACAGGAGGCAAGAACGTTCTATGAGAAGCAATTGTGTACGTAAAACCTCACCTGCAATGATTACGATGGTGCCCAAGCCCCCCTCTGCATTCCGCTTTCCTTATGGACACCTCTATAAGTCCAGCTCCTTCTTAAACGGACGTCTTAGAAGGAGTTGACAGTGTTATTTTTGTGTTAGTTTTATTTACGGCAAACCACGCAAACGTTACTGTCGACCTTTGGTGGCACCGAAATTGGAAGGGGAAACAGTAGATTTCACTTGGGGGCCTGTTGCACAAGGATCACAAGAAAGCTTATCTGGTATAAATAGATCTATTAGAGATTTTTATTAAACATGTTAAACAAGCCCTGGCTCGAAAATTTCAGGTTAGAATGACGTAAAACAGAAAATGCCCTAAGGGGCCGCTTAGGTTATCGATTTTGTGACACTTATCATACAGTCATACTTCGATACGCTTTTGTGTTACTTTTGTTCAATGACCTTCTAAGGAGCAGCAGTTTTGAAAGTTATGGACCGAAAGACAATCGTTAAGCGCCGATGAAGTTATAAGGGGCGTGTATCTGTGTATATATAAACACTCGGAGGGTTTGCCAGGCACTAGTTTATCATTTACCAAGCTTTGATTGGAGACGATTTGCCAGACACAACTCACTTTGGGGGAATAAGACTAAGTCCACAAACAAGCAAGTTTACCAATGCAAACGAGTGAATCAAGCTCGCTTATCAGCAAAAGGATGGACGATTACAGAAATTCGCCAACAATTTAATTCTGTACTGACGTATTTCCTACACACAGATGTTCCTCTATAAAGCTTTTTTTGAAGCAGAGTATTGTCTTAATAGTTCAAAAAAATGACTAGAACGCGAACGTGAATTGATCAAACCTTCAATTTAAGGGGCTTACTTTGCGGCTAAATAAAATGAACCGTATGTAAAAAGTACAAGAGAAATTACAACTTCAAATCAAATCTTTTCCTGTAGTTTAAAAAACTTTCGAAACCGAGAATGTTTGATCAAAGCTGCGTAAATCGATAGGAATAAGTGCATGGAACCTTTCGTTTCCTGTTTTTATCTCAGCTATTGTATGGAATATGTGTGAAAATTTTCAATATGAAGCGGTATATTTCAAAGAACCCTGACACAGCTTATATGAGTCCACGTAAGTGCAGGTACCACTGGGTTATTTGTGTCAACAATCACTAGATTAAAGACCCTAAGTGTTGGTCCGGCCTTGCCTAGTCCCTTGGTCTTATTATTCCGCGCAGCCAAAGCGGTTCGCGTCACGTGGTCCAAGCGAAGTGAATTGACCTAGAGGGATTGGGAAAACGCCGGGACTATAGGCAAGGTCCGGTCGGGGTTTAAACCCGCGACCTCCCGCTCAGCTGACCGGCGCTCTCTCAACTGAGCTAACCCGGTCGTCTGTTTGATTCTTTCAGGACTGGGCGGGTAAAGTCAGCATTGGAAAGTCTTATGAAAAAGCAGCTGACGGAAAGTGGGCGGAAACTAATCCGCTTTATGGCGTTATCGACGAATTTTATTTATTCGAACGCCCGCTCAAACAAAACGAAATCACCCTGCTGGCAGAGACGTGCAATTATGAAAGAGCAGTGGTTCACTACGGCTTTGACCTATTCACTGGTACAACGGTGTATGACCAGTCGGGTCTGGCGAACAATGGCTTAGCTATCAATGGGACGACTACGTCTCTTAATGGGACGTGTGGCAAGGCCGTTAATATGACCTTGGGGCAAATAAGGCTGCCTGGAGATGCGTTCAGGGAGAAACCTCAAAAAGCCATCACGATATCAGTATGGGTCAAGCTACAAACAAACAGGTACTGTAATATTGATGCTTATACTTGGTGGAGATGACCGTATACGGTTTGCAAATATTCGGCCTGTTAGGTTCCAGAATAACTCCCTGATAAGAAACAATTCAAGTGAGACCGCGATGTCCCTTAGCAAGAGATCGGGTATTCAATCCACTTTTTTTTTTGTCAGTATAATGATACTTGTCATGATTTCTAGCAAGTAGGGTTATTTTATTGTTGCTTGATTATTGAGTAACTTTCTGACTCCCTAGACCTTACGGTTTTCATCAACCCCCATTCATTTATCAAATTTATAGGTCAGTCCGTAATTTGAACAGGGTTATGAAGCATGTTCAAGCTTCTGTGGGGGTGGTCTAAATATCAAGCAGATTCAGCAAAGACACCGTGGCGGCAGAGACGACGGCGCGTTCAGTCCTTTCTGCGCGCTTTAGCGTTCTTATTTGAGGTTGTGCTATCTTTACGAAATCTACCTTTTTGTTGTTTTCTCAACCTATCCCCATCATCTGTCACACACCTCAGACTATCCAAGGGTAAAACAACTCATTTTCGTTTTTCGACACCCTATTTAGGGTGCGTTCGTTCGATCATATTCCGGAATAAGTATGTTGCGAACCTCTTCAACCATATATTTATTTGACCACTGGAATGTTTCATTCATCTTAATTTTTTATGTTCATCAGATTGCTGGATTTCACTATGCAATGGAAGTCAAAGCAAGTGATTTTGTACTGTTTAAAAGACGAGCAGGAGTGTATTATCAGAAAAGCTTGACGCGAAGCCGAGAGTTTTATACCTGCTGATAATACACGACTGCGAGTTTTTTTAACAGCTTCAAAAGCTCTGATACAGATCAACTCATTCTTGCGCTAATATTTAGATTTGGGGTGATTTTGGTCTAAAAAACTGGACGTAAAGTTTGGCCGTGTCTTTATCAGATATGAAGATATTAATTTCCTTTGGTTTTTTCTTTGTAAATTATTAATTAAGTTTTTCAATTAGAGTATATTCCATGCATTCTTCCGAGATACTGTTAATTGAACGAGCCCTTTGTTTAAGGCAGATAACATTAAATTGTTTTTCCCTGCTACGAATTTCTCTCTAGTTCCCTCTTAGAAACATAATTCATATCTTTTTCTTCTCTGGGTAATTTTTCGCAGGGGACGTCACGAGATATTCAACACGATCGGTAGCCATTCAGATCACAAACACGATCAGTACGACTTCGCAGTGCAGGATGGGAAGGTTATCTGGTATCACCACCAAGAAAATGACAAGGAAGTTTTCAATGTCGTCACCCTTCCCTGCATTCCGGCGCATAACTGGACGCACATAGCCGTCACGTATGATTCGCAAGCCATGTTGGCAATAGTTTACGTGAATGGAATTCTTGTGAAGGCAAAGTCAGCGAGCGGAGATCTTTCCCAGGACTGGGGTCATTTTGCTGGCATTGGAAGACATTTTTACGAAGGGACTTTTTTGTCAGGACTAATTGACGAATTTATAGTTTATAACTATGCCCTCAACGACACGATTAGGTATCTGGCGCAAGGTCGCTGCTGGTGAAAAGAACACCTTAAGAATATTAATAGTGTTAATGTTTTTGAAGACAAGCGTAGCTATTTTGAGCGTTTTTATATTCCCATTAAAATTTGAGTTAGAAGCTTGCAAATGAGGTGAGCAAAGGCCAAAAACTAGAAGGAAATGTGCGGAAGAGTTTGAAACACATTAATCTTGATGGCTTAAAAAATAAGGCTGGTCACATAGCCCAAACTTAGATCTGAATGGGAGAGTCTGACCAAAAATACATTTGACTTTAATACAATCTGTGCATGTATACATTCATGGAAAATCAACAATAGGTTCTGACCCCAGCTTAAACAAAGGCTTTATTTGTAATACGTTAATAATCCCAGAGGATTAGAGTTGTCGTTAGCTAATTTGATAATTCAAGGAGCAGGATGATACTACTACAATCCCGCACAAGACACCCACCGTTTTGTGACAAGTGCATGTTAAATGGAAGCCATCTCTGTTTATCCGAGGTTTCTTGTCGTGTGAAATTGAAACAATCAAAGGAGGCAAGAACGTTCTATGAGAAGCAATTGTGTACATAAAACCTCATATGCAATGATTACGATGGTGCCCAAGCCCCCCTCTGCATTCCGCTTTCCTTATGGACACCTCTATAAGTCCAGCTCCTTCTTAAGCGGACGTCTTAGAAGGAGTTGACAGTGTTATTTTTGTGTTAGTTTTATTTACGGCAAACCACGCAAACGTTACTGTCGACCTTTGGTGGCACCGAAATTGGAAGGGGAAACAGTAGATTTCACTTGGGGGCCTGTTGCACAAGGATCACAAGAAAGCTTATCTGGTATAAATAGATCTATTAGAGATTTTTATTAAACATGTTAAACAAGCCCTGGCTCGAAAATTTCTTCTCGTTCTTCACCCAGTACAAAGACTATTTATATATTTAGCGATAAACAAACGGACACAGGTGTAAAAACAGTATCGGCGATCAGTAAGATGGTATGAGTGGAGTATAGTTTTGATGGACCACTATTTTATCAAGGGAATAATAATACGCATCAAGCTCTTTGCGTCGCAAAAATTGATAAAGCCACAGGAATATAGGCGTCTTGGCATGTGAAAATTCTCCCACGAATAGCTTGCGTGCGCCTTTTTGTTTCAAACGCCAAGGAAAGCTATGCGGAAGAAAAACGCCTGCTCTTGTAGAATTGCGCCCATTGAGAGGTGGGTGTAAGAAAGGGAGAAAGAGGTGTGCGAAACATACAAACAAACAAACAAAGAGAGAGAAAAGATAACACTCTTAGACACAAAAGACACCAGCTCAATGCCTAGCAAGTTACGTGTGACTTTATACAGCGTTTCTTCCACGGAAAATACAATGCAATAATAAATAGATATAATCCTGCGGCTGTCAAAGCCACAGCTAGCGAGATGCGTCTGTACAGTACTGTAAAGTGCGTTCGACTCGCCTTTAAAAACGGAAAGCTATATTCCCCCCCCCCCAAAAAAAAACAGAGAAGCAACCAGAACAAAACAGCAGTAAGCGTAGGACACTTGTTCCTTAACACAGGCTTACGGTGTATAGTCGTTTCGCTACAAGATCGTTTCGCTTCACGTTTTTCTAACCCGCTGGTAGCCGAGTTCATTCTAAGTGTTTTTGATACAAAAAGTCGGTTGCAGCGAATCGACTTATGATGAAGCCAAACGACCGTGCAGCGAAATGACTTCATTATGGAGCGAAACGAGTTTGTAGCGAAACGACCGGTAACCACACTTACACATCCTACTTACAAAAAAGTCGAATATACTCGTACACAGTTGGAGAACTCTCTTTAAGTCGCACATGTTCGAGACCAGCTCTTTCTGGACGCCCTAAAAAGAGTTCAGTGTTTCTGTCAAAGCAAAACAAGCAGTAAGGGTTATCCCCGTTATTTAAACCTGTTTTATCTGAGATTTCCGGGATCCTTTACTAATAGTCATAGGAAAGACAAAATTAAACTGGTCGGAATCGGCCGCACGAACGCACTTTAAGTAACCAGTTACTGATGGATGCGATGATAAGTCCGTGGGCAGGACTACGATGGCTTCCAAACAGAACATGTTGACTGGGCACCAATGGATCATTTTGTATTTCCAGTAATGTACTGGGACTAGCTTTCAGTCGAGGCTAACCCTTGGGGGTTGGGGAGAGGAGATTATTAACGGAGAAAGCAGTAGCCTATGTACAGACCCCCCTCTCCCCTCAGGCTAAGGAAGAAGAAGGGGGAAGAGAAGTTTCTCTCCCTTCGCTGTCTCCCCTGTTGCTAATCTCTTCCCTTCCCCACTTAAAACCCTGGTACTCCTTCCCCCATTAGCCTCGACCTCACGCTAGTTCCCATACATTTTGGAGAATACAAATAGAGTCTGTTGTAAATAATTATCTAAAGGCAGCTGCAACCGAAGCATATAAACAAAATGGCGGGGCCGCTTATTCCCAACCCAAGGTTTTTACTACACTCATTGGTGCGAGATAAGAAGTTGTTTACCCTAACTATTATCTATACAGTCAATGAATTTAAAAAATGGCTTCGAGTAAAAATAGAAAGGTGGAAAAACAATTAAGCTGCCTGACTATTTTTACTCCAGAGCTGTCGGTAAGAAGATGAGTACCAGTTGTTTCTTTTCTTACTAGGGAGCTGATATTACACGAGACGATTCGCAACGACGATTTTTAGTGCAACACAGCGTTGCGACATTGTTGCGACATTGTTTCGAATGGCTACAACACTGTTCCAACATTGCAATGCTGTGTTGCACGAAAAATCGTCGTTGCCAATCGTCCTGTGTAACATCACCTCAAGCAACGACAACGGCGACGGCAACAAAAATGGCAAAAAAGCAACAGGTCCAGATTGGCAAAACAATAAATTTGCACGTCGTTGCACGACCACAACGCGAAAATGCCTAATTTCACGTTTTGTCGACGACGGGAAGACAAATCAACCATTTTCCTTTTACTTTTCCTGAACTTTGATACAATCCTTTAGAATTCAACTCCAAAGAATTTTGCCAACATTTGACAAATTAAACGAGACGGAATAAGTCTGATAAAGTTTGAAGCAGCGCGAATTCACTTTTTAAGTGACGTTTTCATAGCTGTCGCCGTCGTTATTGCTTAAGCTCCCTGATATTAACATGAACAGACGTCGGTAATGATATGGCGCAAAATGTGGGAAATTATTTTAAAAAATTTAGCCTCCACGTGAATTGACTGTGCTGAGTCCACGAGGGGTCATGAAGGTCCGTTTTCTATGTCTATTTTCAGCAGACGAAACTATTCAAGCTCCAGTACTGTGGAAAAGCTATTCTTCTCTATTGTTTGCTTGACTGAGAACATTTGACAAAAACATTAATCTAAATTTGCAGTGGAGAAGAATCAAATTCAAAGTAGAAGACATTTGGCTCGGGCTAAAACTTCCCTAACAGTTATTAAAATGTAAAACACGAAAAATTACGTTCGTAAAGGGCGCGAAAAGACCAGTGTTCGTCGGAAACTAACAGCGATACAGAAAGAAAAAGACTTTCCAAAAAAGTATTTCTTGCGATCATCTTTTAGTATTTCACGAATGTAAGGAAATAAAGAAGTTAACTATAAATTACCCTACGAGCAAGCTCTCCATAGCGAGTGTCGAGCGAAGCAAGCCGAGCGGGGTGGAGGAAATCCTCTTCCGTTGATCTCGAGTCTCCTCTCGATTGCCGCGCGAGCGTGTCTTCTCACGATGTCCCCAACATGGAGAGTTTGCTCGCAGGCCATTAACAAATGTATAAACGATGCCTTATTGTTATTTTCGATGATGCTTTCTATGGGAAAGACGTCTGTAGAAAGAAGGATCTAGATCGGCAGCTACGTCGTTGGGAAGCTTAGAAATGTGTACTGTGCGTGTTCTATGCTTCTGGACATCGTTTAAAGGAACCCATTCGTCTGGCAATCTGTAAACCAAGTATGACAGGTCAATTAATATCATTCAAATTTCATCACATTACTAGACACACGACTAGAAAGACTTTCTCAAAGTCAGTCGCTTCTCGTTTCCGGTTCCGGTAGTAGGGCCCCTTTTCCCGCAGAAAACATAAAGAATCTCCCTCTCACGCTTTGCGCGCCTGAAAAAGTTTGAGTGACAGTAGATAGAAAGCGCACGAGAGGTGAGCGACGAAGCCGCCATGAAGGAGGGCGGAAGCCCAAGAGACTAAAAATCTCTCATTCTTTTTTCCATTTTTTTGCATAAACTGGGTCTACTTGGTTGACATTTTTAATTGCCTCGCGGATTAAAATAACTGTCTTCATAAATATCAATATCACAAATTAAACACAACTGAAAAATAATGTGGCAAAATAATTGCTTTTGGTAATCTACAATGTATGTCAGGAACGATTAATAAGGTCACAATGAATTTCATCAGTTAAGTTACTAAACCAGAAGGAAAATTTGAGGTGTCATCTACAATGTATGTCAGGAACGATTAATAAGGTCACAATGAATGTCATCAGTTAAGTAACTAAACCAGAAGGAAAATTTGAGTTGTAATCTACAATGTATGTCAGGAACGATTCATAAGGTCACAATGAATGCCATCAGTTAAGAGCATTTTTTCTTTCAGAAATCTCAAGATACTAGATTTGTGCATGCCAAAGAATGAAACAACATTCTGTGCAGTTAAAATACGATGAGGTAGGGCCATCACGTTGTTGAGTGATCAGTATTGTTTGTTTCTTTTCCCTTATTGAATTAAGTCCGTGTTGTTTTTGTCAACTTGCCATCAGTATAGGACTTAGAGTGTGAGTGACCACCTTTTAAAAAATAATATAATAATAATGGTAACAAAAATAGTAATAATATAATATTAAATCAATAATAGTAATAAAAATAAAAATGACAATCATAAGTTAAAACAAATGAGAAATTTATTTCTACACAAACTTACATATAATAATAGTAACAATAATAATAATAATAACATCAAATCAATAATAGTAATAATAATGATAACAATGATGATGATAATAATAAGTTAAAACAAAATAATGAGAAATTTCTTTCTACACAAACTTACATGTCTTCAGGTAACCATCTTAGAAGAACGTCTATGTTCCCTGACTTCTCTTCAGTTCTTCGTCCAAGTACCTGCCATTTATTGAAAGCATTAACATCAACATTACCTCTTTCATTGCTCTCATTTACTATAAGCTAGGAAACCAACAGCTTCTGTTGGAAACACCTGTGTGTGATCATAACTTGAACTGCTAAGTGAAGAGAATTCATATTCATGTCAAGTGTTAGCACGATAAGTTCTCAAAAGGTAGAGATGTCAAAAATGTTATATTTGCTAAAAGAGCCCTGTCTAAAAGAGTGCATTGCCAGAATAATTTAGATGGGGATTTAAAACCATTCATGGAATCCACAAACTTTGCAAAACATTGCTTTAAGTTTGAAATTGATAAGCAGGTACAAAATAATGAATAATATTGGCAAAGGTTCATTGTTTAACACTATGTTGCAACAAGAGGAGATAATGGTCATCAAACCGAGGCTGCAAATAACAGTGAACATCACTGATGAAGGGATCTAGATGGGTTCCAAAAGCTCTGCATAACTTTCAAGAATTTGGTGGTTTTAGCTAATATTTTTTTTGCAATGTAATGTCCTAACAGCCAAATCTTCCTTCTGTCAAGAAGAGAAGACTTGTCTTTAAAAATCTTCACACAGCAGTACTCCCTATTATGGCATAACATGAACACAACATAAACAGTACATAATGATTTACACAACCAAAAAGAAATCAATTTTTCATCTCACCCAACTACATGTAATATTCTGTTTCTTTTGATATGTTGCAAGAACAGTTTGACGGGCCAACTCGAAGTGGATGTTTACATAACCACCACATGTTTAAATGGCATTAAGGGACAGGGTGATACCACTAACCTTGCTCTGGAAGACAATGTTTGCACCATCTATGCCCAATCTATAGCATGATACAGGCATTACATATGGGAGCTTTTCTTTTATACTTGATACAGCATGTTGGTCAATGAAGTCCTCCTTCACTGCAATAATAAGCATAAAAAAATTGACCCATCTCATCAAAATACAACTAATGGTGCTATCTGGTTACAATGACTTTCTCGAGTTAACATTCCTGACATTTGGTTCAGTCAGCAGTTTGGCCTTCTCTAATATAGTTGTATTAGAAAGGGGTTTCATTCCTTTTCGTTACAGCCATTTATCTTGCCCATACACAAGGAAACTGCATGCAAGCCCCTTAGAGATTTATTTTTCAAACAAAATAAATAAACTTATTTATTACAGTTAAACCCTGCTTTATGGACACGCGCTTTAATAATACCAACACCTCATTATTTCAGACAGTTTGCTTTGTCCCTGGGGAAAGAAAGCCCTTACATTTTCTTTAAATTTAACCCAGTTAAAACAGACACCCTGATAAAATAGACACTTTCTATCACTCAGTTAGTGTCTGTATTAAGGGTTTCACCATAAAATCACTTTGAAGAGGCCTTCCCACTGCCCATGCTGTGTAGCACAAAGGAACCTCTTGATTTCTGCTACTTTCTCTGATAGTCGGCTCAGGGCTTAGCCCTCCCAACAACTATTTGCCCACAGGTGTCACAAAAGTGTTGAGATTGCCTGAGTCAAAGTTCGTAATCTCATCCCGCATATTTTCTTATGTTAATTTGAATCAATTTTCTTTTTCCTTTGGGGGAAGAAGAAAAATTCTGAAACGGAATTTTGTACAATTAGAATTCCGCTATGATAGCCTTCCAAAAGTGAAATATTCAACAACATTAGACGAAGCAGACCAACCTTGAGCTGGAGGTCTTGCTTGCCGGACAATCCTCAATTTCTTCTTCTTCTTTTTCATCACTTTTTTAGGCGACGAATCGTTTTCCGATCTCTGTCTTTTCGATGGTTTTGAGTCGTTGAAGTGCGATGGTACATGTCTAGCAAGGCCCTCTCGGGACGAAAATGTCAATGAGCATCCACTTATCATACACTTAAAGGGTTTAACACCCGTGTGTGCGTTGACGTGTTTTGATAGCCATGAATGTGATAAACTCGGTTTGTCAAACACTTTGCAGCCTTCCCACAAACACACAAACACATCATGAGAAGCCATTGGCTCAACATGAGCGGTCTTTACATGTTCCGATAACTCCGAGGCATTTTTAACCATTACATTACAGGAAATCCATTTGCATTCTACAGTTCTTGTACCCCCAGTTGTAACATCTTTCGACTCCTGCCTGGCCTTCCTAAGAAGGGGAAAAAATAAGAAGCTTTTAATAAACAAGATCTGAAACTTGTACAGCGAAGGCAACGGGTGCTTTGGGGACTTTCTAGGGTACCTGTTAGTGATGGGAAGGCATATTGAATGAGTAATAATAACATACTTACTCTCTACAGTTTTCTTGTGAAGAACAAGCTTCGATATTTCCTAGTTCTCTCTTTTTATGATGCAAGACACCAAAACTAGTTTCGTGAGATGAGACACCGAACTGGCAATTGCCCGCAAAAGAGTCGTCGGATTTGGATGGCTGTTTTGAATTACTGGTAGAGCAATTTTCATTCCCTCTTATCTCAATGTCCGGAGTACTACATAAACTGTTTGGTGTTCCAGTCCCGACTGATTCAAGCTCGATTGTTGTATGACAACTGGACGATTCAAACTCTTCTACAGCATCCGCCATGTTTTGCTACCCTAATCAGCAATCACGTGGAATTAAAACGCATTTGTTTTAAGGCAACCAATCAGAAGTCTTTATCAGACCAAAGCATGTTATGGGAAAATGCCAAAAATTTAAAAAACAATAGCAACAAAAAACAAATTTCAGCTTTTTAAACTGTAAATTAATTATGTGAGGTTTTGAACCAAAGAAAAAAGAATGAATTAACAGTTTTAAAAATTTCTTTTATGGACCAATGGCCGATGTTGCAATTCTTACATTTCTGGTCAGGGTTGGAAAATTACAACATAAATCCTTATCGTAGGTTATTTTTTCGCTTATATTATCATTATTTTTTGGATTCGTTTTAATAATGTGAAACAAATTCTACCCTACACTACCCTTGAATAGTAGAAAGACTTTCAATTATCCATGCCCTACCTCACCCTAGCACGTAAGCTGTGAATGACTTCCAAATAAGGAAATTTACGCGTCATCCAACACGTGTCAAAACCGCGTCAGTTCACTTCAGTTTGTCCGCCATTTTGGAGAGAAGGGCGAAGCACTGTTCGAACGAACATCGCAGTTATTCGCTCCATTTTGTCAGAGCAAGGATTTTTATGCGAAAGGCGCCATAGGATACCAGGCAAAGTATGCGCTGTTTCATTCTCAAGTAACTTTTAACGCGTTTTGTAGCGGAGATCGAGTGCCAAAGCTTTGTTTCGAAATCTTTTTTTATGCACTTCTCAGGCACGCGGTCTCACTGCATCGCAGCTTTCCTTACTTGTAAGCACATTTTCTATCGAATCGTAATTTATATCAGTTTCAGTGTGTTTAGTTGCAGTCCGTGACGCCTGTGTAGTATGAGCAATTTCGTTTAAACTGTTTTCAGTTTTTTTTTGTGCGTGTCCGCTTGCCAGCTTTCATGTGCTACTAAACGGCTTTAAAACCTCGAAGGTACTTTTTTGAAGTTCTTTTAGGGGGAAACCGTAAAGAGGTTGCAAAAGTAATTAAAATACTTTTTCTGTATTGCTAATTCTGGAAACAGTGCGCGTTTTTGTTCAGCAAGTTATCGCAGAGATTATAAAGGCCTCTTAGCGGGCGAGGAAAGTTTTAGGCGTAACTTATAAAGCTTCTTAGTGTGAGGCAGCCTCAGTAAACTCGTTGTTTCTGTTTAAATAAACGTATGTTCCTTTTGACTCTTCTTTTGTGAAGTGGTTTGTAAGGCTTCGTGATGTGGGTAGCTATTTGTTTTTGACGAGTGAATAATATTTAATCCAAGCACCCTTCTATTGAGTCTCGACAGCTACATCTGTTCTGCAAATATTGTTTTTCCTAACTTTTTTAATTTTGCGCTTCCGTTATGCAGCTTTCCAGTACGCCCGATAGTGATTGCGTGGCGCAAAGCAGCAGTGAGTTGTTCGCAAGCAGAAACCTCGCAGCAGGTTTGCAACAGACAGCATCTCGACAGCATTTGCAGCGATTGCCTCTGATTCTAAATATCTGGGGAGCGCTCTGACTGTAAGCATTGCATTTGACTGATTGCAAAGCGCCTAATACTGTTAACAGTTGAAATCTGTTCAAAGCTCCTATTTTATCATGGATATGTCGCAGAATTCAGAAGATAATGATACCAACAACAACTCAACAGGCAGAAACCAAGAAGAAATGAAAGACTCAATCTGTCGTGATTACCAGCGTGGCGTTTGTACTCGTGGTTCCAAGTGCAAATTTAAGCACCCCGATGGCATGGGTACGGAACTGTCAAACAGCCCAATGATCTGTCGAGATTACCAAAACGGAAAATGCTCACGTTCCACTTGCAAGTACTTGCATATGACCAATAATGAAGAGAAGATATATCTGCGCACTGGTCAAATGCCGCCAAGACGTGAATACCCTTTCGGAGGAGAGCCAACCCGGGCTGGGGCAAATGATCCCATTTGCAAAGATTACCTGAATCGGAAGTGCACGCGTGGGTCAGGCTGTCGTTACCGACATGTTCCAGAGGATGATCGTGATATGGATTATGGAGGTTATGGGTTTGACGGTCCCTCTGGTAAGCGTCGCCGGGAGTCATATGAAGGTCAAGGCTACTACTACCTTATGGATGAAAATGATGCATTGCGGCGCAAAGTGGCTGATCTGCAGAAGCAAGTTGCTGACCTAAAAGCCACAAACGAAGTTCTTCTTGAACAAAATGCAAAGTATCGCAATCAGATAGGGGAGCGTGGCAGCTACAATGGAAGTGGTGCCAGTGCTAACACTAGTTATTCCAGCTATGGTACAAGCTCCAGTCAATCTTACAACACATCATATCCACCACGGGATACCTACAGCAGTTACCCTTCCACTAGTGGAAACACTTCATATCCATCAACAGGAAGTTATACATCTAACACTGCTTATGGCACAGGGTATACCAAGTTTGATTAGTATACCCAGATTGCAAAGATAGTGTTTTGCAAACAGAAACAATTAGTTAGAGTTGGCTTCCTGATAGTAACCAGAACAGAAAAGAAAATGAGTTGAAGGATTTTGGGACTTCAATTCTATTCTGTGTTAAACTTTCAACTTTGACTTCTATTTCTATGGTCAGGGGTGAAGAATGAAATCATTACTGTAGGGCACTGCCATGTCAGTCCACCCCTTGTAGTTTTACCTTTTCATAATTATGTAGACTGGGAAAACCATATACTTGTAACCAGTTGACCATCTTCTTTTGAGTGACATTATGTTGTTTGCTTTTAACAAATTCCACTATGACATTCTTAAGATTCTCCTTGTTTGTTTATATTACTCACACTTTTTCCTTATGGGAGTTGAGTGAAATAAAAACCATTAGCTTTTAACTCTAGGAGCTGAAAAACTTGCAGAAAGTAAGAAAGAAAAATAAAATGGGCTAAATAACTTTCATTTAACACTGTTTCTTTACAACTTTGTAAGGTTTCTGTTATACAAGATGCATTATAAGACAAAAGGGATACCAAACTAAAGTTTAAAAACAGTAGTTACGTAGAGATATGTAAAATACTGTAATATAGCCGAAGAAAGACCGGTTTTCAAGCAGTTTTTTGTGAAATTAAGTTCCAAGAATAAAGGATTTTTTTCTAGAAAATAACATCGTTGCAAATGCCACTAATCAGTGGCAAGAAAAAAGGAAAATGATAAATCTGGGATATCTGGGTAGTATTTTTGGGATATTGAAAAAGGTTGCAATTGCAGCTGACTATTGTGTGGAAAAGAGCAAGGCCTAAAAGCAGGCATTCCCAACCTCACTCATCCCCGAGGGTGGAGACGGGAGTTTCCTGAGTTTCCCAGCACCACCACTGTAGCCACATTCTGAAGCAAGTAGGGAGGTGTGACATCTCATGGGTCTAGTAAGGTTACCGGTCATCTCGCCCCCAAGTCATTTTGCCCCGTTACTTTAGCCCCTTATTTAAGAAAGAGGAATATTATATTTGAAGCGCGCTGTAGGGGCCTAAGTAACCGGGCAAAAATGACTTCTATCTAGCTACCCCAACCCGCTGCCTCGGAAGCACACACTGGGCGCTTTCCATTTAGGAAAAAAACCCAGAAATTTCGGTAGGAGCAAAAGTGGAATTTCCGATTGGTAAAAAGTTGTTCCATTTGGTCGTAAACCCTGGTACGTCGCGGTGCCCGACGGTGGACCTGGAACTGGTACAAACTACGAGAAACGTAAATGGAACACGACATTCCGTTCGGAAATTCCAACCAGGAAAACGGGCCCGCCTATTTAGATTTTCCACTTTTTCTGGGAATTTTCCAGTGGGATGAACCGATGAAACGTGTTCCATTTACCGCCGAAACGGAAATTTTGACTAAATGGAAAGCGCCCTCAGTTTCGTCTCCTTCCGGAGGTCGTTCGTAGAAGGCCTGGGAGACAAGTAAACAAAATAGCCAATCGTGGAACAAAGAATGTCTGCCATGAAATTTGATTCAAATGATTCAGCTTTGATGAAGCTTGTTTCATGCAGGACATATTTTTATTCCTCTAGGGCTGGTCGATATTGTGAAATAATCGTTAAACGATTCAAATTTGCACAGATGAACAAAGTAACTGTGATTTACGATCGTAACAGCAGATAACTTACAGAATATTGAACGCTTTTTCTGCTTGAATGACCTGAACAGTCAAGCGACTTCCGCTCGATCTAGTACTCCATATAAGGATTTTTAGGGATGGAATTCAGATTTTGCAATACAGAGGGTCGTTTCGTTTAGTTTTGTTTCCAAGCGGGGATCTTTTTTCCTGGAAGCATAAATTGGAAGTTAAGGAAGTCCTCCTGTCAGGGGATATACCTGGATCAACAGGTTTGTGTACTCTATCTTGTTTTAGAGAGCGTGTTAGCGAGGGAACTGCGAAGTCCATCTTTGACGTCCATTATTACAGGTTTCAAGCGCCCTGAAGGTGTTCCACGATATCTTATTTGTTTTCGTGCACCACAATACATTNAAACTACGAGAAACGTAAATGGAACACGACATTCCGTTCGGAAATTCCAACCAGGAAAACGGGCCCGCCTATTTAGATTTTCCACTTTTTCTGGGAATTTTCCAGTGGGATGAACCGATGAAACGTGTTCCATTTACCGCCGAAACGGAAATTTTGACTAAATGGAAAGCGCCCTCAGTTTCGTCTCCTTCCGGAGGTCGTTCGTAGAAGGCCTGGGAGACAAGTAAACAAAATAGCCAATCGTGGAACAAAGAATGTCTGCCATGAAATTTGATTCAAATGATTCAGCTTTGATGAAGCTTGTTTCATGCAGGACATATTTTTATTCCTCTAGGGCTGGTCGATATTGTGAAATAATCGTTAAACGATTCAAATTTGCACAGATGAACAAAGTAACTGTGATTTACGATCGTAACAGCAGATAACTTACAGAATATTGAACGCTTTTTCTGCTTGAATGACCTGAACAGTCAAGCGACTTCCGCTCGATCTAGTACTCCATATAAGGATTTTTAGGGATGGAATTCAGATTTTGCAATACAGAGGGTCGTTTCGTTTAGTTTTGTTTCCAAGCGGGGATCTTTTTTCCTGGAAGCATAAATTGGAAGTTAAGGAAGTCCTCCTGTCAGGGGATATACCTGGATCAACAGGTTTGTGTACTCTATCTTGTTTTAGAGAGCGTGTTAGCGAGGGAACTGCGAAGTCCATCTTTGACGTCCATTATTACAGGTTTCAAGCGCCCTGAAGGTGTTCCACGATATCTTATTTGTTTTCGTGCACCACAATACATTTTTAGAAACCTCTTATGCAGCAGAACATGATTGCTTATAAACTGGCCCATCATCCGACTGATATGTTGCTGAGATATCGAGCGTCGAGGATGCTTCAAGGAGACATCTCCTGATAGCGTACTACAGGATGTACAGTGAATTGACAACCCTTGCAAGCTGCTGTATTTTGTTCAATGTTGTCGACTTTTATGTATAGTCTAAATTACATTCCCGTTCATCACCTAGTGTGACTAAACACCACTCAGGTGCCTTAATTTCTCTTTATATTGGTTAATGTATATTGCTGCGCTATAACGTGTGTGGGTACTATTTGTAAAGCAAAATTGTTGTCACCCGGAAGTAAGCAACGAAATGGTACTTTACGTGCCTAAACACAGCTACGAGTATGATATTTAAAGCTCGTAATGACTGTTTCCAGTCGTGTTTAGGTTATAAAGCGGGTCACTTTGCACGTATACGATACCAAGTGGTGAATTTCGAGCTTTCTTTCAGACATCGAGTCGTAAGGAAGTAGTCGATTGAAATAGAGGAACAATGGATTTTGCAACATGGGCAAAATCAAAATATGTTGTAGAAATTCCTATAAAGAAAAGTTGGGTAACAGAGCTGTATGATATTACAGCCCACGTTGTAAGTAATCAGCAAACTTTTGTTGTTCTTAGGGTATTCTTTTGCCTGCGTTGAATGTATTTAAGCTGTTATCTTAAGCAATCCAAATGAAGATGTCATTGAAAATTTTATTTATTTGAATTGTGTAAAGGTCAAACTTAATTTTCAGCTAATGAGCATCAAATTTCTGTTTAAGATTATCCATTGCATCCTTTATTTCATTGTTAACGTTAAGTTTTAATGTAACAATTAACAAATAAAAATACAATACCATAAAATTCTGAAAAAATAAGCCCCTTCATGTATAAGCCCCTCCAAATGTAAGCCCCCCAAAATCGTAACGCAAAAAACCCCCCGTTAAATCGCCCCTACAAATATAAGCCCCCTGGGCAGCTTGTACTTGGAATTTGCCCTCAAAATACAAAGTAAAACAAAGCAAAAATGGTAAATTTCCTTCCCACTACAAGCTAGCTAGCCCAATCAATTTTGAAACGTAAATTTCCCTCCGTAGATAAGCCCCTTCGAATATAAGCCCCTCCAAAAATAAGCCCCTCAAAAAGGGCCTTTGAAAACTATAAGCGCTGGGGCTTATTTTCGGAATTTTACGGTAATTTATTTTTGTTGGTTGACTGACACTTCTCTGGCTTAAGTTTCATACCTTTTTCTCCAATTTGTTTTTCATGCAGCCACTTGCTTACAAAACTGGTAGAAATATTTTGACCTTTCAGCCCCAAGCGAATGAAAATAAAGAAAGAAAGCTTAAATTAAGGCCCAGATGTTGTCACCCTAAGAGATATACATGAGTACAAGTGAAACAGTTAATTTTAGTATAAACTTCTAATTATTTAAAAGGTAGCAAACTTTGATTGTGTTGTACAATCTATAACAAACACTGTCAAAGATAGGGCTACATTCTGAGGTGTACCAAAGGAGGAAGGAACTGAAGGGACAGAGTCTTTGAGTATATTCTTTTATGAAGTGCCAGAGACCTCTAAAACACTGATCATTCAGTTAAATTCAAGGTTCATTAATATTGAATAGGTACAGGTTCAAGTATCTATAGCTATGTAGCAAATATAAATAAATCTATAGCTGTATAAATAAATTAATAAACTATCCTTTTCATCAGCAGAATGGTGGGGTGGAAGGCTTCTGCCTTCATCAACATTTTAATTGGTAGTTTAGATTAATGAAGTGCTCACCTTAATTCAGATTACTTATCAGTTTATTGATTTTTTTTTCTCATTAAATAGGCCATGTATTCGCAGGGGCCTCGGAATGAAGGCCATTATAGTGGTAAGTCTATAATAGTAAATAAACTGAGTGTGCACAGACCGTGATTATCTCTAAGTAGGACGGGAAGCCCTTTATTTATACTTTAATAATACTGGGTTGTGACCAAAATGACTAGACCTTGCTGCTGTTATTATGAGTTATTTTCATGGGGCCAAATTTATTTCGCCCAAAAAAATTTCCAAAAAAAATGCAAATTAAATTGAATTCAAAAGACCTAAAAAACTGAAAGAATCGTTGCAAAAATTGACCACGTCAAATTTAATACCCTGCTGTATAATAATTATTCAATGTCATCTTTATTACTGTCTCAGCTTGTGAGCTCTCTTCATCCAAGTCAATATCACCTTCTAGTTAAGATCCTTGGTGCAGTTGTCAAACAATCCATTCGTATCCATGCTCCTTGTTCATACTGTTAGAGGCTTTTTTGTTTCTCTGTTCCTTGTTGTGGCCTTCATAGCATTTCAATGACAGCTTTCACTGGAGTTTCCAATCCCTCTTGAAAATGCGATCTTTGGTGTAAATGACCCCTTCTATCAAAAGAAAACAGTGCATATAGCTAGCTGCCTTAATTATTTCTCTAGGCAAGCGATCAACTATTGACAGAGGTTTTGATCACTGCTGTCAATAGCTACTATTATATTTATGGAAAACTGGAAAAGTTGTCCCTGTACTGACATCAACTGTTTGCTATCGCAGATCAGTATTTTGACAATTTTGCAAAATTTAGTCCCTTTGAATGTATGTTTTCATCATGAAATTAAGTCCAATGAAATTAAATGTGATTGTTCTAATAAGGTATTTGTTACACAGGTGTAGAATATTCAGTGTAATATGCCTGTAAAACATTAATGGAATGTTATTTGTCATTGTAGATGCTTTGGCTATTAAGGCCATTGTGCCAGAAAAAGTTCAACATGATGTAAGTGCAAATATCAGTGCTATTTAAATTTTGATCAGTGTTAACTATTTAAATGTTGCATTTTGTAACTATTTGCAACCATCAGATACACGTATCTGATTGTTGCGTCGACGAAGGAGATGCTTCCTATTTGATTTGGTAGCTGTTCTGTGTGTTTGTGGGTGGCCTGTGCATGTTCCAAGCACAGAAATTGAGAAGAGGTTGTCGGTGTCGGTTCCAAATCTGCGCCATCTTGAAACATCACAATAGTATCCATCATACCCATTGCGTTCCTGTTCCTAGCCCGTTTCGCTACCTTTGGATCTTTGCTTCCTTGATCTCTTTCGTACAATATCAAATGCTGATCAGGGGTGTATTCAATATTCCTGGAGCTTTTACAATGCCTAATGTCCATACTGCATATTCTATCATTATTAATTGCTGCTGGCACAAAACTGGTGCCTAAGGCCCTAAGGTGACGCACTATAATCTACGATAACTGCTATTTCTAAAAGTAAAAATTTATTTTTAAGTCAGTTGTGTTATCATTTGGTTTAGAGTGGAGAGCAGATAGCCATTATCTTCAACCATAGATTGAACATGGACCGGAAAGCAAAAGACCAATATGTTGTTGACTTTGTGGGAACAGCAGGTGTTGTCAAAGTTCAAGCCACACTAGCAAACAGTTCAACGTTGATGCTACAGACACCAGGCAAGTTATAAGGCCTATCAGCCTCCTCTTCCATGTGGATGCAGTGTTCGCTGAAAAAAGTGCAGATATAAGTTAATGCCAAAACTTTTCAATGATCAAAGGGCAAGCTGTTGCTGNATATTCCTGGAGCTTTTACAATGCCTAATGTCCATACTGCATATTCTATCATTATTAATTGCTGCTGGCACAAAACTGGTGCCTAAGGCCCTAAGGTGACGCACTATAATCTACGATAACTGCTATTTCTAAAAGTAAAAATTTATTTTTAAGTCAGTTGTGTTATCATTTGGTTTAGAGTGGAGAGCAGATAGCCATTATCTTCAACCATAGATTGAACATGGACCGGAAAGCAAAAGACCAATATGTTGTTGACTTTGTGGGAACAGCAGGTGTTGTCAAAGTTCAAGCCACACTAGCAAACAGTTCAACGTTGATGCTACAGACACCAGGCAAGTTATAAGGCCTATCAGCCTCCTCTTCCATGTGGATGCAGTGTTCGCTGAAAAAAGTGCAGATATAAGTTAATGCCAAAACTTTTCAATGATCAAAGGGCAAGCTGTTGCTGAAGCTTACTAGCCTGGGACAATATTATTGGGCAGGCCTGCCAACCCCTTTTTTCGATAACATTTACTTTGTCTTGGCAAGTGGTGCTCACTCATGCCTGATCATAAGACAACTTATATGAAAACCCGATAGCCCAACAGATCACTCCACTAGCCCAGCAATCCTAGTTATCACCCCTCAATAGTTTCATTAGGCCCTATTTAAGTGCCATCAACTCTTTTTGAATAAGTGAATGAATAAAATTGTGATATTTATTTGTGGCTACTTTTTCTTAAATCCTCTAGTATTCAAAGAACCAAGTGTTATAACTGCTTATGTATACCAAGGCATTCATCGCCGCTTGATTGGCCAGCACAAAATTGAATTTCTGTCAAGGAGTGACACATTTTACAGACTTCTCTACAAGTCTCTGGATCCAGTCATTTTTATGTGTGATACACTAGGGATTGTATCAGGAGATATCCAAGAACTAGACAATGCCCTGGCGGAAACTTTTTCAGCCAACGCCCCTCAAGGATTTGACTTTCTTGGTATTCATAGGGAAGGAGCAGGTACTGAACATTTCAATCACATATAAACATCATGCACTCAATATAAAATACAAAAAAATATAGTAAGAACAGCAAGAGTCAAGGGGATTGAAAGAAAAGTTATATATTTGTCATGTTATTGTTTTGACTCTCTAGTATAGTACTGGTAGGAGAGATATGTCTTCCTTATTCGTAATGACATGTACAGTACAGTCAGTGAGTGAATTAAGCAGGGACCAACTCAAGATTGGTTTTCGACTCCCCAAAAAGTGTCACCTAAGAGTTTCAAAAATTCGATGTACATGTAGTAAATGGAAGACGTGTATTTTTTGTGTTTAAAGGGAACCAAGAAAGTGTCACCCAAAATGCATTAACAGTACCCAAAAGAAGATTATTCTCGCAGTGAAATGTTCTTTTACCATTATGATACATGACGAGTTCAAACTTCCCTTCACCTGCCATAATTTGATTGGTTAATAATGTCGGCCATGTTGAAACGCAGACCACGCAGACTGCAGACTGTGCAGACCGTGCAGACTGTGCAGACTGAGTGTTATTTTTTTTACTTGTACCTTAATTTTCTAGTAAAATTTTTACTATAGTTTCCCGAAGGAGCAGGAGGAAGGTAAGCTGTTTCTTTCTGTAACTGTATTATATTGCCACGATTATTTAAATTTTTTTAGTAGAAGAAGCGTTTTCAGGTTAAGTGACTTAAAATAAAACCCTTTTCGGCTTCCTACAATGGCTACGATAAGTAACATTTCCTCAATTTCCTTGACTGTTGATGATCATCTTTGGTTTCACTCTGTAATTCAAACCGGTGACTTGCCGTCATTTCTTCAAATCTTACAGATACCAATGTCATTGTTGTTAGCTCGGAAGATTCGGGTAGGACTTTTGTTTATGTATTTTTTTTATGCGATTCTCAAGAGTGTCCTTCTGGGCGGGCTTTCACTCGGGGATGGACAGTTGTATTTGCTCCATGCATTCAAGCCAATAAGTGGTAGTGGTTTGAAACCGACAATCCAAAATAGATAAGTTCCAGTTGAATGAGACCAAGTGTAAAGAGTTGCAGATAAGTTTCTCAAGGTCGACTGTAGATCCTTTCGAAACAGTTACTATTAACAACAAACCAATTGAGGTTGTAACTAGCGCAAAACTTCTTGGTCTCACAATTTCAAACAATCTAAAGTGGAACGCTCACATAGAGAATGTTATCAAAAAAGGAGCCTCTAGGCTATACCTATTAAGGCAGCTCAAGCGTGCAAAAGGAGATCCTGCGCAGCTACGTTGTTTCTATACTACGTGTATCCGGCCCATGTCTGAATATGCCTGCCAAGTTTTCCACAATGGTCTGCCTGAGTATCTCTCTGAAGAGCTAGAGAAAATTCAGCGCCGTGCACTTAGAATTATTTTCCCTGATTTAGGCTATCAAGAGGCTCTAAAAGAGTGCAATATTGCCACCCTCCACCAACGGCGCCAATGGCTGACAGAGCGCCTATTCAATGAGATTAAGGACAACAGCCTCCACAAATTACATGGCCTTTTGCCGCCACGTAATCTTAGTACTGTAGCCTTAAGGAGTAAGCGTGTTTTTAACGTGCCTCTTTGTAGAACAAATAGACTAATGAATAGTTTTATCATGCATAACGCGGCTATTTTCTAATGGTTTTATTGTAAATTCACGGCTATTTTCTTAAATTTCATGACGTTGTATTTTGTTCCTTTGTTTTATTTATTTACTGATATTTATTTATAATAGTTAGTCTTAGTATTCAACGTATTTGTACAGTCCGTAATCCAGCCCTTGGGCTGCAATGGATTTTTAATAAAGCTATCTATCTATCTATCTATCTATCAATCTTGTTGGAGTATCATAGTTCTTGTTTATGCAGCTCCAAAACTAGTAACAAATGTATTATTTGTACAACTTGAAGGTGTTGAGGGGGTTTTAATGCACATTGAACTAGATACCCCGCCATGTATTTTAAGTATATTTTGTCTTTTTTTCATTGAATATTATCTGTGAGAAGTTTCAAGTCGCTGCCCCTCTTCTCTTAATTCTGACGCTTACGGAACCAGAATATTTATTTTTAGGTAGATATACCTAAAAATAATTTATTTACACATTTTAGAGCAAGGCCCATCTCTCAAATGTCTCGGTTTGATATTCCGAGCTAACAACGATGACATCGGTATCTGTGAGATTTGAAGAAATGACGGCAAGTCACCGGTTTGAATTACAACGTTAAACCAAAGACAACAATCAAGGAAATTGAGGAAATGTCTCTCTCATAGCCGTTGTAGGAAGCCGAAAAGGGTTTTATTTTAAGTCACTTAACCTGAAAAAGCTTCTTCTACTAAAAAAATTTAAATAATCGTGGCAATATGATACAGTTACAGAAAGAAACAGCTTACCTTCCTCCATCGTGCGCACTCCTGCGTGAAAGCGGCGCAGCTAAAAGCACGCGAAACTGCTTTTACATCTGCCGGTAAACATGAGCCCGTGATTTTCTCATTTCCTACCCATGACCCTTGCAGGTACACATCAGTGCACATATGATGGTGATGCACAGTTCACATAATGAGAGGAAGCAGGAAACTATAGTAAAAATTTTACTAGAAAATTAAGGTGCAAGTAAAAAAATAACACTCAGTCTGCACAGTCTGCAAAGTCTGCACAGTCTGCAGTCTGCAGTCTGCATGTGGTCTGCGTTTCAATATGACCGTAATAATGTAGGGTTGATGACCAATAGTTAAAAGATGATTGCTTGATATTTGCCTGTTCTCTCTGAATATTTACAACAAAATGCCCCAGTATATTTAACATGTGAGTGTAATTTTGATGCCAAAAACAAGAAAAAAGATCCTAGGATTGCCTTTAATAATTTCTGGATGATTAGAGAAGAAAAGAAACTACTAAGTCTTCTCCCCAAAATCAGTGAGTTCTTCTTCACCTTTTTTATTTTAAGAATATTTGGTTTGAAGTATAATTGCTATGGCCAAAGAGACATTACTTCAAATCATGACACAATAAGGCTTGTTTGCAAGAAAATGACCAGAACTGCATGACTGACCAATCTGAGCAACAGCATGCAAAGAAAGTGGTGTCCGATAGCCTGGGGCTGGTGGATTTTGCTATTGCAGGCTAGTGAATTCTGTTCTTAACTTGCATTTTGCCTGATGGGCAAGGAAGTGATTTTGGGGGGGGAAATTCAAATTACAGAAGAACTGTAATCAATGACTGCTCATCAATTTTTTTCAGGCTAGTTGGAATGACTTTTGGGCTAGTACATGCTAGGTACAGCTCACCCAAATGGCAAGCTGTAAAACTGACTTTCTTTGCACTCATCTTACGTCACCAACCCCAGAGAGCCTTAGTGCTGAACAAAAAGGGGGAATACAGGAAGTTTGAACCTGGCTTGAAGGCCTTTTTTGAGCAGGAGGGCGAGTAGGGAAATACTTGAGTAGAACAACATTTTTTCATGGATTTTTGATTTTCTGTAGGAGTCAATTTAATAGTTTTAGACCATAGCTTCTGAAAGCACACACATGTTTGAAAACATACATGCCCACATATTTTCAGTTTTGGTAGGGAAAAAAAATTGGCCAATCATTTTAGATTAAAGCCATTGCAGTTGGAAGATTCCAAATTTTTAAAAACAGCACGAATTTATAACCATGTTATTTTTTGTTTTCTTTTAGATCAATCCAGTGCTGAATTTCCAACTTTACTCCACTTTGCATGCAAGTTTGGACTAAGCAAGCTAGTTGAAGTTATCTTACGTTATCCTGGGGCTTATGAAGCGTGTGCTTTGAAGAACTATCAGGGCCACCGGCCATACAATATAGCTGAGGATAATGGATATGATCAATTAGCAAATGAGCTACGTGCTTTTCATGTAAGTTAATTAGTTTCATGTTTACAAGTTAATTAGATTAATATTAATATTATTATTATTATTATTAATATTATTAATATTAATATTATGCTAAAAACAGTTTAAAACTGTTTTTAGCATTTGATGCAAATTTTTCTTCCTTTTCTTTGGCCAAGAGCCCAAAAAATTGAAATTTTTGTCTTACAAGTATATGCCAGTCCTCCAGGATTACGGGGGAGTCTTTTGGACAATTGGCACATAAATGTCTTGTTCTCCCATAAAGATCACCAAAACTCCTAGCCTATAGGTAAATTTAGCTTTTCTGCTGTGAGAGACCTCCGCTAGCAGGGAAGATTTCATTAAGAATTAAGCCCATTGTTTCCCAAAGTTCAAAATATTTTTTGCAAGGTTTCTATGGCATTTTTTGCTAAACTAGTACGTATTTTACCAATGAAAAAGATTACGCTCAACTTTCTCTAAGATGAACACCTATGGAACCAGAAGTGATATATATTATATATATCCATCTTATAGAGAGTCAAATGAAGAGAATAGAGCTAGAATTAGGCAGGGACCAACTCTTGGTGTCTGTTTTACAAAGGTGTCCATCTTATAGGGCTGTCCTTTAAGAGAGAGTCGACTGTATTTTGTCATACAATCTCATTAAAAGAAAATTTTGATGTTCTGTACTTGACGTAACACCTAATAATAATAATATTATTGTTATTAAAATTTATATCATGCTGTTCAGTGTAGTATACACCTTGTAGTCTCTGTGCCAATATACAATGCCCATGTTTTAATTTGGGGACATGGTCAATTTATTTTTATTTGAGAAGGAAAGTGGTCATTGATATATACGATAACTTAGCCAGGGTAGATTGTTACTCCTGAAACCAAGAACTGACTACCTCAAGCGTAGCTTTAGTTGTATTGTGGTTCTTACTTATGGAACAATCTTCCCAAGGATGTATGCACAGCAAATTCTCTAGACGACTTTAAGAAATAAACTCACTCTCGGTTTGCTGATCATGCAGTATTCCCACACGGCAAATTTGTAAAACAGTGTATAGAGAATTTATTTATTTTCTATTATTATACTGATATTTTAACTGTGTATAAATAATGTTTATCATCATCATCATCAACATATTTTTTTGGTGGGTGGTGGGGTCAATGAAACACAGAGTCTCTAATATTGTAAATTCTGCAGAGGTTTGCATCACTGATATGTATATATCTTCATTTAGGACCAAAAAGATCCAGATGCCAGCTACATTGATATGGAGCCTAATAATAAGGATGGTGATGTTTATGTGAAAGTGCAAAAGGAGGATGGTTCCTATTATTATGTTTTGAGAAAAGAAGCTGACA